CAATCCGGCTTTTCTCCCCAAGGTCATCACGTCGGCCTTTAGGTCGAGAGTCATCAGGATTAGGGCTTTCTATCCGCCACCGCATGCCTCCCCCGAGGAGGAGCGGCGGCACCTTCTGTGTCCTGTCAGAATGCTGAGGCATTACCTGGCCATGACGTCGTCATTCAGGTTGGGTGGTCAGCTGTTTGTGTGTCTGGGCCCCAAGAACAGGGGCGCCCCGCTGTCGGCTCAGCGGCTGGCGCACTGGGTCGCCACGCACCTATTCGTAGAACTTAAGTTACATTAGGTAACTATTAATTACGTCAGGAGCAGTGGTCGCCGTAGTACAGCCCCCGGGAACCCATCTCCAGATGTTGATGCTCAGCTTGGTCAGGACTACCAGAGCTGGAGGATTTAACCCTAGTCTGCATGTTTTTAAGTGTAGAGTACGACTGATAGTTGTCCCATGTACAGAATTCCCCAGCTCAGCGGGAGACTTCTCAGCTCTTCTTGTGGTCTGACTTGGTCACAAAATTTACTTTTGCAAAACTCTTGGCCCCAGCTTTAATCAGGACAGGACACATGAAGAGACGCAGAGTCTGTAGGGCAAGCAAACTTCTGCGGCACGTTCAGCACTTTGTCTGCACATCAGGGGAAGTAGAGGGAATAGGCAAAACTGCTGCGTGGATGATTGTTTGTGCGGCACCATGCCCCATGGGAGCAGACAGACACTGCTCATGGGGGACACTGTAGTGGTACGCTGTGAAACCCTGTGTTACGCACAGCAGCTGGAGCGGGATGAAATTAACAATTTTACCATCACATTGATGTAACCAATAGTAGTTCATTCATTCATTTTCTACCTCTTTATTAGTCTATTTCTGGGTTGGGGGGGTGGCAATGAGAGCTGCCACATAATGCTCATAGCAACAGTCCCTTGCTGATCCTCTGCTAGTGGTGAGTCCAAAGGAAGATGGCTGCTACATCAGTGGTGCTACAACCTCGGTGTTTCAGCGTACACCAACAGTACTGTAGTTGCTCCATTCCTTTTTGGACTATGTCTTTATTACTAGGCTACAACACAAGCAACACACTATGCAACACAAGCATTTGTGACGTATTTGATAGAGTAACACAGTTACTCTATCAAGTATAACCTGATTTCAGTAAGATATAACAAAAAAAAGATTCATGCGTGAACTAGGGATTGAACGACTTTATAATTTTCAGTCGACTTAGTGTGCATACTACCCAATGTCAACTTGTCAACGTCATGAGTGTGATTCTCATGGATGTATTATATTACAATGTCCTGTCCCCATTACACAACTGAGCTAATCTACACATCGAAAAAAAAAAAAAAAAAAACGTTCAATAACGCAGTCGTAAGATCTGAGCACAGCAGAAGTGTGCACAACAAAGAGACAGCAGTTGAGAAGGCTACGGGAAGACTGGAATGGTCACCGAGACACACACGAACCAGGTTTCCTCACACTTTGCTAGTAATTTTTGTTTTGTACATTTTGAGTGTATGCAACACAAGAAAACAGCAGCTCGAGCCTGTCCAGAGCACAGTGCACACACTTCCGCTGGCCAGTATACAGAAGTCAATGTGTTCTTGCCTCATACAGAATCTGTACAGTGTTATCAGCTGAATGTGTGTGTATATCATATATCTTACTTTTGTCGTCTTTGTGACTCACAAGCAGGATGAGCCACAATTGAACAAGTGCAGTCCCCCCTGCTCTTACTACCATAAGAAATGTTTAGCCAAATCAAATTACATACCGCAACCACCACATCTAGCACATAATTATTCATGTTTTGACACATAGAATTCTGGCACATTATGCTGGGTTTTAGAGACCTGCCTTCTCAAACGATGAGCATGAGCATCAGCATCAGCACTCCTGGGCCTGAATGGACATGCTTTGACATTGTGAGTGTGTATGATACGCGGAGTGACCCAGGCGTGCAGAGGGTAAACTGACTGTCTCCCCTGGGGGCATGAGCTTGTTCGGCACAGAGCTGTTCCAGAGTTCAGAGCCAGAGTCCCAGGACAGCCCCAAGATTAATGAAGCCGCTCCGGCACTGTGATCCCAGCAGGACACACCAGCAGTCACATGCAAGCTGCAGCTATTCATTTTACTATGACACTTCAGGATTTTATACCTGCACTGGCTTCTCGCTTATAACGAGATAAAGCTCAATTATTGGGTGACACTTGGATGGGCATCTCAGTCCAGACGCCTGGGTCACTCCGCGTATCATACACAATGGACACATTTGTATTGACCTGCGTAAGCAGAAATACAGCACAGATAAACTGCATGGACTCTACAGCATTTTAGCTGTTTGACAGGGACAGTGTACATTAATGAACATTACTGTAATGCACCAGAATTAGCCGTAAGGCTATTTTACACCCGTACACTATAATTATGGCTCTACTTCAAGCTCCTTCTTTAAGACCACGCTCTCGCCCCATTTGAAGAAAAAAAAAAAAACTGAATGAATGCCAAGATCAAACCTACACTTTATTAGTAAAATAATTGTCTTAGTTTTTAACTAAAAAAAACTAAATTCAAACAACATGTTTGATGTATTTCAATCCGGCCTTAGATCAAATAATAGAAACCACTGAGACCACACTTTTCACAGATTATGTTCAGCTGCTTCTTGACTCGGGCAAGAGATGCATCTTTGTGCTCTTTCCATGTTTTGATATAGTTGATCACAGCATATTCCTGGCCAAGAAAAAATCTCTTTTACACCTGGGCTCCTCACTGGCTCCAGGTCCAGATTGACTTCAGAATTCTTATCGTAAAACCTGCCAGTCTGGTCGGATTTGCTTCGGCCTCATGAACCTGTGCGCAGTCTCGAATCCAAATCCTCTGACTTAAACCTTTCTTTCCATTCCTATTGTGTTAATGGTTCCCGCATTATGCTCCTTTTAGATAGAACACTTAAATAATCATATGTGCTTCAACCATGAGCTCTTTTAGGAGAAAACTATAGACTTTACTGTACAAAACGTACTACATATACACAGTAGGGTGTGGCTGTGTACTACATCTTGAACTTTTGCTCATTTACAACTAAATGTGATTTTTATTTTATTTTTTACAGAAAGACCACAACAAATTAACAGACAACTGAAGTGAAAACAAAGTTAAACATTGTGATGAGTGTAATCTGCGGTCAATATAATAACAGGAAGTGTAAAAGTCAACGACATCAGAATTTGGTCAAAGATTAAAGCAGTATATACGTCTCATCGCCCTCTGCGCACCAGTCCCCAGTGTCAAATATGCGGGTGGCAGCATCATGCTAGGGGCCTGCTTTTCTTCAACAAGGACAGGGAAGAGTGTCAGAGTTGATAGGAAGGTAAATAAAAATACCTATCTTGGAAGAAAAGATACAAAAATCAGCAGTGAACCTTTTACCTACTATCATGGGTCTCTAAGCAGAAAGGCAAAAAAAAAAAGAAATCATAAAACAGAGGTTAATAAAAATCTATGTGTAAGAATGGCCCAGTCATTTTGTTTATAAAATTACTACCGTGATTGCAGAAAAAAGGGGTTCTACAAAGTATTTACTAATGCTGAATGAATACTCTGCTTTTTTCCTATGAACATTATGTATCATTTTGCTTCGACTTCAGTTTTTTTTGTGGCCCTAGAAAAATTGACCATCATGACCATCAATTATAATACTTAGGTAAAAGTGTTATACATGAATAACATCATTTAATTCAAACGTAAATTGAGTTGAGCACAATAGCGTTTAGTTTTGATGGGGTTGTAGTGCCCCCATGAGGAACTTTGTGGAAAATGCAGCAATAAATTAATTTAAGCATTACTAATATTTATGTTATTCACAATTCATTCAAACAGCGGAGATTACTTCCAGTACAAATCAATAACTAAAACAGACTGAAATGTCTCAGAAAATACAAAAGTGACTAATGTAGAATAATTAAGATTGAATTTATAATAATCAAAAAGCAAACATCATAGAATATGTTGCTCAATAATAATTATAAAAATATAAACAGCACATACATACTAATAGATACGCACATAATGATTGCAGTATATTGTGTTTATCGATGCAGGTTAGCCGCTTCTTTAACACTCCCAGAACAGTTTTGAAGTGTAATTAATCCAAGTATGTATATTCAAACTTTGTGACTTGTTCTGTATCTATATGTCGTTTACATCCATATAATTAAGTTTAGGGACTGGTCCTAGACTAGTTCCTATAGCAACACACAGTTTACTTGCATCAGTTAGTATTTCATTTATTTTTAGCATTTATTTAAGAAAAAGACCTGTATGATTTACTTACTTGTAATCAGTGAAAAATGAAACTTTTTTTTCAGAATTCCATTGATTTGAATGGGAGCGGTTGAAAGGATATGCGCAAAATTATGCCACCGCAGAAATTGTTTTTATTGCAATTAGACATTGAAGTGTCAAAACATGCTCCATCCAGTATTGCGGTTTCATTCATAGTATTTTGTAAAGTAGTAATAATCTTATTTTGAAATACAGTGAAGTGACTGATTGCGGTCCCATCCATTTCAAAACTTTATTGATTGAAATATAAAGCTGAAGTTGACTAAAAAACAAGTCATATTTTAGTTTGGTTTTTAGCCACTGTATTTATTTGAAATTAAATAGTCTTGTACATTTCACAGCTATTAAAAGGCCTACACAGTAAGCAAAAACAAGTCTACGCTGTCCGTGTGCTGCACTACACCACAGGGTAGTTTGGTCTCCATTCGTCACGGTTCAAACTTGAGGAGGAAGAGTTGTGAAATCTTCAGGAAGTACTTTCATGCTGAATTACATCCTTTTGGAGGTTTCATAACGAGACATCTACTAATGACAAAAAGACTTCATTTTCACCATGCTGAGAACGTGACGAGTCTGTCACAGAGAACATGATACAGTGCGTGTTAGAGGCTCTTGACGTCTTTTCCCAGTGAAGCCGAGAGAAAATACTTTGGACTATTTTCACGAGAGCACAGCCTGCGTCGTCCTGATGCCGATCAGGTTGTCTACGCTGACGGACCTCTTCATGGCAGATTTCTTAAAGTCTTTGTACTTGTCCTCACACAATCTGGAAATGGCCTTGAGACAAAAAAAGAAATAGCATTCAAATATATTTTAGTATAGTTTAATACAACTTCTGTCAATGTCTATAATAGAAAATATATTTGTACACTTCTAAGATGGGAAAATTGGAATCTTTACATTAAAGGAATTGACATTTCACAGAATAATTGTGCTGAAAAGAATCCAAACTTCGATAAAAAAAAAAACAAAAATCAGACCGAAATGTGGTACAATCTATAGGCCGAGATGCAAATGATGTGATGGATGCTGGGTCACTACCAATGGGGGCGGGTCACTGACATGCTTGCAATCCCACTCCTTGCCGATGGTGGCGTAACCGGAAATAGAATTACCTAAAACATTTTTACGCTCATTTTGCTCAACGCTTGAGGGGAATTTTTATTTTTTTGGGCCTGCCAAGTTTAGAGGCTGTGGAATTTTGAGGCAGTTGGCAGATACATGAGTAGAAATAGTTGGCAGATACACAAGATAAAACACGGATAAAAGTAGAAATTAATGTTTAACCCTGATGACTTTTTCCAGGTTAAATAAAGGGTAGTTGCTACACAGATTACCACTCCACCTAAAATGTGCTACATATGCATCTTTACTTTGTGCTCTAAAGTGCACCTCTACCTTTACCTTTATGTGACCTCAATCAGGGCAATGCAGTATGCAAATAAAGAATACTGGCCTTAAAAACTTAGTATAAATATAAGGCAGTAATTGTTTTGACAGAATGTACATAAAACTTGGCAAGATCTGCATCACTTTCACTAAACTTACATGTTCATATACACCGGCAAAACAAATTGCACTTTCCAAATTATGATTTCATTTTCTTGAGAGGAAGTAAGGAGAGGAACATGCAAAAACATTTGTGTGTGCGTATAATTTTCACATTGTGAAGTGAAGCTGTGTGATCAGTACCTCCAGTTTCTGTGCTCTCTTGTTGCTCAATGGCTCCAGGGGGAAGCTGAGATTGTTTTCATCTGCCAGCGAGCGCAGGTCAAAGTAATACTTGGCGTAAACACTCGCCGGGACGTTGATGTTAAACTGCAGCAGCTCCAAGAAGTGGCGCTCCATCTCATTCCTGCACCAGACCAAATAAACAACATTGGTCTTCATTTTTGTACGGTATTTAAGATTATTTTTCACTTTTCGTAATGAATAAGAAAAATACATCTTTTTACAATAGTGGCTTAGGACCACTGCAAGAATTACAAGTGGACGGTAGAGCTGCACAATAAGGGAAAAAGTGTGATTTAGGGATAGTGTATGTTATGTTGCACAGAGTTATTTATTTATTTTTTTAAAGAGTGAGCGCTCCTATTTGGTGTTTTCTATAGACTATCCTTGTCTTGTTTTCCTCTCTGGGTCTGCTTAGGGTTAGGGTCATGAAGCCAAAGTCCCAAATGTTGAAACTAGTGTTTTTAGCCCTTGTGCAACCCTTTTGCTCATTTTGAGTGGGGCGCATTCAAGCTTGAGTGTGATTGGTCAAAGTAAAAACAAGCTTGCAAAACAAAACATATGTCTTATGCCATAATAAAAATAAAAATTCTCAGTCTCTTCTGTAATTTAGCTAAATCTTCTTGGCGGAACGTGGAGTTCTAGTAGTTTCATTATTGTGAGAGTCCTCGTAAAAAGGAGAAGTAATCAGACATTGATACATGTTTCATATATTAATTTCAGGGTAGGCATAAATATACGAGGTTGCAAATGTAAGGTGCAATATATGTAATGTATCATTATTATAAATATTATTATTACTCACATGTCCTCCACGGTGATGTCTTTGAGGATCTGGCAGTAGTCGACATTCCACACGGCCTGGTCATCCCACACTTTGGAGGAAAGCAGAATGGCTCCAAGAACAATACGTTTCCAGTTGCTCGGGCAAATGTCCATCTCTGCATACGTCAGGAGTCTTTCGAGGTAAACCTGGCACAATTTACAAATGTCCTGTAAAACATATGGTTTGCTCCCTCTGTTTCATAATATTAGAAAGGCCAAGATGAAAAAAGTGATCATCAGTGGTTCTCTTGTGTAAATTATTTTAAAGTTATTCAATGCTAAAAAAAAACTACTCACATCATACAAGTAATATACATAGAAACATAATATACATAGTTTCACCAACACATGGTGGAACTCTAGCAAATACTGTTGCTCGACTTTATATGTGTTTATATTTGCATGTGTTAGTATATACTGAAAGCACAGAAGGCAAAATAAAAGTACAAAGGTTCTCTATAGATTAAGGAATGTAAATATCTGAATTTTCCCCACTGTGGGACGGATAACGGATTTCTGAATGTTAATCTATTGCCGTCATGTTTTGTTGGAGGATATTCTAGGGTTTTGATTCTTTTGCTGCTGTATTGAATTGTAGTATGCATCTGAATGTCGCGGAGAAGATGGATTAAAATATGCTTTTTGCTCCAAAGCCATGCACAGGTTCTTATTTACTCTTATAATATTTTTTTCTGGGACTAATAGTTTGATTATCTTGTGCATGTTTGTAAATACTTATGAATGTATGAATGAATTTCTGCTCCAATAAAAAAATAAAAATACTCAATCACACTGACAAGCCTATGAAAATTATGGGAAGTCTTTGCAGGCAGAGAACTGATCCGAGGGCCCAAATGTGCAGATTATTTCAATATTAAATCAAAAATTATTATCATTATAGTTATTATTTGCACATTTCCTGTCTTTTGCACACCCCAGGAGATTCTCTAAGCAAAATGTGACATGTACATTTCTCCTCTTTTTTGATCCTTTGTGAGATCAAAAAGAGTCTCTTGGTACCAACCTCTAACATCAGCTTAAATTTTAGCACTCAAGAATTGAAAATGTGTTTCAGGAAGTAACCTTTATGGGTTTCAGTTTCCTTTTCCACCTACCAGAGTGACGATAGCGCATTCGGCCGTGAGTTGTGCCGAGCTGAAGAGAGTGCGTATGAAGCGGTAGATCAGCTTGTGTTCGGGGTCCACCACGGAGTACTCGTCCGGAACTTTCTCACGCTGTAGAGGGCGGGAGATGGTGAGATTACTGCAGACCTGCTTACGGGCCAATAATCTGTCATTCGCAGACACTTACCGATAAAGGATGTTTCTTCTCGTCAAAAATATCTAAAGAGCGGTTGGAATCTCTGGAATTTTTATGGGGGAAAAAGAATACACAATCACCACGAAAAGATTGATCTGAATCCGTTTTGTCTACATTTACATATAATACTGAACATGCAACACAACACAACACAGCTAGGACTACTGTACACAGCTAAAGCTTTAATAAATACAGGCTTAACTCAAACAGAAACGTAAAGCTTGGATCATTTCATGCCACACCCTAATAATCTATTATAACAAGTCAAGCATTAGTTTAGTCACATTAGTCACATATTGTATTAGTGAGTTAGTGTGTGATTCAAGAAGCCAAAGGGTGTCATGCAAAGCCGATATGAAACAATCAATAGGGAACAAAGCCTACCTGTTTTTGATGTGATAATAGATGGCCAAAGCCACGCTGGAACAGAAGCACAAATTGGAAGACACAAAATGAAACTGCTTTTCTCCGACTGCAAGGCTCACGTCGCTCCGTCTCCACCATGCGGATTCACAACTCTTTATGTGAAGTGGATTTTGTCTAGCTTTTAACGTACAGCTGATAGTAATTTGAAAGACAACTACTGTTTGAGAGAAGATTAAGATTAAGAGATCCTTTATTCGTCCGACAGCGGGGAAATTAGTGTTGCATCACGAGTTACAGACAGTAGGGATGAGAAGCACACAGCACAAGATAAATGAATAATAAAATCTATACTAAAATAAAAATGGCATAGCATAAAAAGGAAGAAGTCTAAAATCTCCAACTTTAGCATGATGAAGTAGCAAGACATATGAACACCTGAAAACCCTGACTAATAATAATAATAATACCTTGTAAACATGTTTTGGCTCCAACAGAAGATGGGTCGTAGCTCTGCAGCCGAAACATGTTTACAAGGTGATAACAGGTGATGAACACAGCGTTCATTATTCTCGTGTTTACATAAATACAAATGCATAATGTGAGGTGTGCTCGTACTCACCATTTGATAGTGCTCTTGAGGTTTGGCTGGCTGACTGTGCTGTCGTCGATGAATATTGTTGAGCAGGAGCTGTACTTCTTGGTCAAGAGTCCCGGAGACATCTGATAAGAGATTGGTCGTTCATCACACAACAGGAATATACGATAAATTATCCATCGATTAAAGGAGCTATACCCGTTTCTGCAAGGTTTGAATGTTTAGCATCGACCCCAACTCGCTCACAGGTCTCTCATTTCTCCTACGCTCTCATTCCACGGAGCATTCTATCCATAACTGAAAGATTACCGCTAGTTCCACGTCTGAATGTAATCCAGAGCTTAGGTAGTCCGAGGCGGTCCCGCGGGTCTTTCCCATAGACAAGTCTCTTCAGAGGATATGATGTAAGCTAGCTATGTTCACCTGGGCTTGATTTCTTTGATCATTTTTTCGCTTTATTTCCCTCTTCTCTTCCACAATGTTGTGTCGTTTGGGCTGTTTTGCTGTGTCTGCCGTTACAGCAAGAAGAGTTATAGCCAATTCTGCTAACATGCTACTGTGTTTTAGCAGTGCTGGAGAGGCTAGAGGACGCCACCTCGTTCTGTGAGTGGAGGAGAGCCAGCGGGCCGCTAAAAGTCATCTCAGCACTTTGAATGGCCTAAACTCATGCTTATGCCGAATCAATGTTCAATTAATTAATCAGTTTTCAATTAAATTACAGTTTTTAATACAACTTGTATGTAGTTATATGGATTTTTATTAACGCAATAGAAAAACAATTGGGTATAGCTTCTTTAAGTCAAATGGTACTTTCTTCACATTCATCATGTTCATAATATAAAATACATGGCATGAAAGTTAGTCATTTTGTAGCATGTTTTCAATTACACTATACCAATGTGTTAAGGATCCATACAAAAACATTTAAACGGCATGGAAATGTTTTAGACCCATTGCTTATTTCCACAGTGGATGGGCAATTTCAGTAATATATAAACCCATTAACATAAAAAACCACCTGGACTTGTACTATAATGCAAAGCTAGTGTGTGTTTAAAATCTGCTTTACATAAACATCAGTAAGATTTTTTTGAGTGGGATTGTTTTGCATCATGGAAAATGTTACCGGTATAAACAATAGAAGCTCATACATGAAGGCCATTGCACATGAGCAAGTACTATGGGACTGTAAAATGATGTATGCTTTTGGCTATCAGCTATTGAACAACAAAATAAATATAAATATAACTGAATTCAACTGAAAATGTTACTTCCGTGGCTGAATAATATGCAGAAATAAATTACACATTAACTAAGTTTGAAGCAAGACATGATTCCATGAGTGAAAGTTAGGTATGTTTACGTCAACACTTACATGATTTAAGTAGTTGCTTTTTCTCTTCTCTCTCACTGAAAAAAAGAGGGTAATCCAGTTAGATTTCAATCACATACTATCAGCTGTAACATACATAAGATTGAGAGATCCCTTATTGGTCCCTCAGAGGGTAAATTTCAGTGTTGACGAATCACAAGTTACAGACAGTAGGAATGAGGGGCACACAACCCAAGATATACGCATAATTAATCTATACTAAAATGTAATAAACATCTCTAGCATAAAAAGTATAAAATATATCTTAAGCATAATAAGGAGAGAAGTCTAAAATCTCTATAAAATACTGTATATATCGCTGTGTGTATACGTCTGTACGTGTTAACAGCAAGAAGGTATAGGACAAAGTGGCTAAGTAAAGAGAAAGTAACATGTGGTTCTATATTGTACATTCTGACATTATCACATTATTTACCATCCGTCTGGGACTTGTTGAGGAATAGGGTGCTTGCTCTTGGATGGTCTGACGGATTTTCTTCCTGGGCCAACTCTGACACACAAAAAAAAACAAACAAAAATTATCAATCTGAACCGTCACAATCAAGGCTTTTCAGAACCGAACACACCATCTGGCAGCTCCCGGTCACTGATGTGCTGCAGGTATGTCCTTGTGTCCTCGCTCAGGTCTTCTGCTGTGGTGATGGGACACTCCTCCAGCTCCAGCTCCCTGCGGTGGAACTTGGGACTGTCCCCCGGAGAGATGCAGCAAGACACAGACCCCCCCATGGCTCACCTAATACTCTACTATTGTCCCAGTAGTTTCCATGCGACTAAATACTCAACACAGTCAAGGAAATACTAATTAAATCGCAGTATTAAGGAAGACATTGTTTTGGGTATAAATAGTGAAATACTTGCGGCTTTGGTCTTTTTTACTTTAAAAAGATAAATATTTGTATTAAGAAATGTATAGAATTTTATATTTTAGTATTATACCAGGTCAAACAACTTGAGCAAACTCTACTAAACGAAACTAGAATTTTATTTCAATTTGTCTTCAGTACACAGCAATTGTGTACGAATGCATATCCAAGTTTCAATCATATAAAAGTAGCTATATGTGGTTCAAGTATAGACAAAACAACGATATGAAAAGTCCATATTAATACATTTCTAGTAGCTTGCACGACAGCTGACATATTTAGGGCGTGTGCTAGTCAGTGGCGCACTTCTTGGCACACAAATATTACACTGAAATGTCTAAATACGTTAGCTTCGGTTGTCAAAGTCTGATTAAAAACTCATTTTAACAGCAGATAGAAGAATAGTTTGGGTGGAGCTTCTCGATCTTCCTCCATGGCTAGCTGCTAACGCTAACGAACGCTAACGCTAGCCTCCGCGCGTCAGTCCATTTTCAGATCCATTTGAGTCACAAATGGTCCTGTCCGCATCAGAGACTCTTTAAAACAATCCAATGTCAAATAAAAAAGATGGAAATAGTCGCAGGGTGGATCTGCATTGGATTTACGGGGCGGTAGAGTGGTTATAGAGGGATTAGAAAGAGATATTAGACACCTTGTCGCATGTCTGCTTGTCAAAAGTCACACCGGAGAGTTTTAGTGTATATTCAACTTCCGCTTTGTGTTTTTCAAAATAAAACTTCATTTTATACATTAATCTGACGGGTCTGCGCGGCCCCCCAAAATAAAAACCAAGAAGACAACGTTAAAAATGGGCTCTTCTCGTTATTTTATTTGGGGGGAATAGCCTCTGCTACAAACATGTAAATGAGGCACCCTTCTTTGTAATACAAAAATGATTACAATTTTATTATTCAAGTCAAATAATTAACCCAAATATTTTAATATTACAAACAAAATATTATAAATTTAACATATAATAATTATATAATACTTTTTTTTATGACCTCTCGCGGCCCCCCTGCAGTACCCTTGCGGCCCACCAGAAGGCTGCGGACCCCACTTTGGGAGAACCCACATTAAAGAAACAGTTGACGCTTATACATTTTAATAATCATGTTTGATCATGTATAGATTGCTTGTAGGTTAAAACTTTTACCCTGGTTTCGAAAAGAAAATAGCACAGGAAACCGCAATCCTTATTTCGCTTTTTTTACTTGACCAATATATTAAAGACACCACAGCTAATTTATGAAACTTACGACTGATATAAACATCGCATATAAAGACTGTAATCTAAATAAGATATAAAGCATCTCTTGGAAAACGATAATTAAATACAACGTAATTTATCTAATGCAATTCCATTTCCCCCCAGTAAGAGGCAGTAGCGCGCAGCTTACAGGAGAGGAAGAGAGAAGAAGTTCTGCACGACCAAAACATGACCAGAGCATTTCACACATTTTAGCTGTACATTTATTTCTTTCTTTTTTTAAATACGATGGCTCTTGTTCCGTACGTGGAGAATTCTTTACCAATTCTTTCTAAATTCCACAACGCATCGGCCAACTTTAGATTCTGTAATCACGACATAAACATAGCACAAGATTGGAAGAAGCTTGGAGTGGCTGCAGTTGTATGGGATGCTGTGAGTTGAAACAATAACATTATAATAACAACAGATGCATAAAATGACTGATGTAATTGATTGTTTTGTCTCTTTTGCAGGCTGTTGTGTTGAGCATGTATCTAGAACTTGGAAGTGTGGAGTTAAAAGGGAAATCTGTCCTGGAGCTGGGAGCTGGGACTGGTCTGGTGGGAATTGTGGCAGCATTATTAGGTATGTCTTTAAAAGGTTCATGCTACTTGTTTAATCCTTTTAATAATAACAGATTTGGTTAAGGAAAAACAGAAGTTGTAATTTTGGTTCAGTTCAATATATAATTAGTGTATATTCACATAAATAATTTTTTCCTGGTGTTAATTACAAATCTTTTAAAACTGCTTGTGCTTAAGCAAAGTACTTAAGCACACCAATTGTTTAATTATGCCCCATTTCCAAGTAAGTAATTGCACGCTAAACTATTGAATTTGTCCTGTCGACTATACAGTACAATTGCATTAACCCGAAGGACCAATACAGGTTCAACTTGTTATATCAATTTACTCACGAAAGATGTGTTTATTCTGAAACCATAACAATGATAGATTACAAATGCTTTACTCATCTGTGCAATAAAAAAAGTATTTGTCAGAATGTACAATAAAAAAAATCAATTACAAGTCTCAACTGTAACTTTAGTCACTTTGTACCCACATGCTGCTAACATGTACAGATTTTATACTTATTTCTTTAGTAAGTAGAAAATCATATATGAAAGATATACTTTCATTTACTATTAATCTTTAAGTCTGTGATAATGTGCCTAATTCTTGCTTTTTCATTATGCTAAAGTTTGAGGTTTTGTGTTTTCGTCCTTATGTTGAAGCTAGATATCTTATACTTGCTTTTTTAAATGCTAAAGTTAGAGATTTTGTTCACTTCCCCACTGTTGGACGAATAAACTACCTCTTTTCTCATTTTCTTTAGGGGCCAATGTGACCATCACGGACAGAGAGCCTGCCTTGGACTCCCTCTCCACTAATGTCAAGACCAACTTACCTGCAGACATGCTGGGGTCTGCCTCTGTGTCGGAACTGACGTGGGGGGAGGATCTGCAGCGTTACCCGGCTGGGGGCTTCCATTTGATTTTAGGGGCGGACATCGTGTACTTGGAGAACACTTTTGCGGCGTTACTTGAAACTTTGAAGTACTTGTGTTCGGATACAACGATCGTCCTGCTGTCCTGCAAAATCCGCTATGAACGTGACAGCGCCTTTTTGGACATGCTAAAGCAGAGTTTTGCCGTCGAGGAAGTTTATTATGACCCAGAGAAAGACATTCACATTTTTAAAGCATCAAAACTGCCTCAAAATACCGAATTGTGAAGAGATGCAACTGGACTTTGTTACGACCATTTCATACAAGTTAGCATTTTTTCCTCGGGACAATGAGAAGCAAAAATAAACATCAAGTATTTCTCACAATTAGTCACTTCGATGATGCAATTTCATAACACCTGAAAAATGAGTTAGCTTTTTTTGGACCATTTAAGTTTTACTAATAGAATTGTTATAAATAGAAAAAAAAGGTCAATGAGTCTGCGATCAAGTTAAGTATTTTCAGGTCTTAAACAAATGCCACCAGTACCAGAAAAAACGTTTATTAACAGCTGCCAGAATGTAATATCATGAGCTAACAATGTACTGTTTCATACAACATACAAAATTAATGAAAAGCGACATGTAGCAAGCAATATACAATACCTAAAAAAAAAATCATACAATATGGTAATCTGCTAACTTTCCCGTTCTCTTTGATTTGGTCGCAATTCATAATTTCATATTCTGGGTGTAATTCTCATTCAATATGTGTATTCTACTGGGTTTTTAAAGTCGGCAGGGTTTTTTGCCATACCTGTGAAATGCTGGAGGATTGTATATGCAAGAAAAGTGCAGACATTTCCTAGAGTTCGGACAGCCAAATATAAATGCATCTTACGTTGTTCAGCGTTCCCCGAGGGGGGCGTGACTGTTTACATCTGAGCCCCCTCGGACCCCACCGCACTCCCCCGCCTCCTGCTCACCAGCACCGGGTGAGTACAACGGTGCAAACACTGCTCCCTGTCCGTCTGGCAGTGCATTACCAGTCCAAACACTGAACTGTGCTGACTCCCTTCTGACTCTGGGAGCTAAAGAACAACTCAACCACATTAATCGACTCTGACGTTTATTTTTAAACTTGCTATATGCTTAATGTCAGATCTCTATGTAACAAATCATTTTTAACAAATCATTTTTAATTAATAATTTTATCACTTCTTATGATCTTGATTTTATGCTTATGGCTGAAACATGGCTCGACCAAAATACAGGAAATGCAGTTCTAATAGAAGCAACACCACCCAATTTTAAATTCGAATCCGAAATACGAGAAAACAAAAGGGGGGGAGGCATAGCTGCAGTTTTTAGAGAGCACTTTGTCTCCCATAGAATGCCCCTTGGAAATTTTTCATCGTTTGAGTATATTTCTTTTAAAATGGAACAAAAGCAATCTTCTACTCTTTTCATTGTCCTGTACAGGCCACCACAGTCATGTTGCGATTTTATTGACCATTTTACTGAACTACTTTCATTCGTGTGCACAGATTTTGATAGTTTAGTTATTACAGGTGATTTTAATGTACATGTTGATAATGTTGATGACAGAAATGCAAAGGAGCTGGCTTCTGTATTTGAGACCTTTGGTTTCATTCAGCACGTGAGTGGCCCCACCCACAGCAGGGGGCACACTCTTGACCTGCTAATTACAAAGGGGGTTAATGTATCAAATGTTAATGTAGTTGATGTTGCTTTGTCAGATCATTTCTGTGTATTTTTTGACATGTGTTTTGCTAGCAAACCACCAGCTGAATTTACAAATGTTAGAAGAAGACACATACATGAAAACACAAGTGAACTGTTCATGGGAATGCTAAATTTTGAGAAAACTCCATGCTCTACTGTTGATGAATTGTATAACTCTGTCACCACCAGTGTTCTGACTGTTCTGGACGCCATTGCTCCTGTGACGGTTAAAATAGTTACCAGTAAGAAAAAGGCCCCATGGACTAAGGCAGACTCGGTTAGGGCACAGAAGCAAGAGTGCCGGAGGGCCGAACGGAAGTGGCGAAAGTCCAATTTCCAGGGCGATTATGAAATCTTTAAAGATGAGTTGGGTGAATTTAACCGGGTTCTACGTAGAACAAGAGAAATGTATTTTTCTGACATTATTGGAGGTTGCAGTAACAATTTTCGTGTTATGTTTTCAACAGTTGGTAGATTAACGAACCCCCCTGTAAAGTTGCCCCTAGAATTTTCCTCTAAATCTAGGTGTAATGAGTTCGCACAGTTTTTCGATGACAAAGTACAAGGAATCAAAAACACTATCACCTCCACAGCACGTATAACAATGCAACAGCCAGAGAAGCTTTTTGAGCTAACTCACTTTGCACCTGTGGATACTGAAACTGTCAAAAAGATAATCATGAGTCTGAGCTCCTCCACATGTAGCCTGGATATATTGCCCTCTAAATTTCTGAAGTCCGTCCTGAGCAGTTTGTTACCTTCACTGACACAAATAGTAAACATGTCTCTGTCGTCAGGAACATTTCCTATGGCCCTAAAAACAGCAGTCATAAGACCTCTCCTAAAAAAGAGCAGTCTGGATCCTGCGGGACTTCAAAATTATCGCCCCATATCAAATCTGCCATTTATTGGAAAAATTCTTGAAAAAGTGGCCTCCCAACAACTTACTGAATTTTTAACAATGAATAATTCTTTTGATATGTTCCAGTCTGGGTTTAGACCCCACCACAGCACTGAGACCGCTCTAGTGAAGGTAACAAACGACATTCGACTTCACACTGATGCAGGTAAAGTCACAGTTTTGGTCATGTTAGATCTTAGTGCCGCGTTCGACACTGTCGACCATGAGATCCTCATGCAGAGACTGGAGGACTGGGTTGGTGTCACTGGGACTGGCCTCCTGCTGGTGCCCAGAGTGAGAACCAAACATGGGGAGGCTGCGTTTCAGATCCATGCAGCTAAGATCTGGAACAATCTCCCTGAAAATGTGAGGGAGGCGTCTACTCTGTCAATGTTCAAATCCAGGTTAAAGACTGTTCTGTTTGCCTGTGCATATAACTGAAGGATTTTATCTCCATTTTTAATGCACTGCTGTCATTTATTTATTTTTTTAAATTTCTTGTGTAATTTTGAAAGTTTTAATGGTTTTATTCTTTTGTGTGATTTTAATGTTTTAATTGTGTTTTAATCTTTTGTGTGATTTTAATGTTTTAATTGTGATTCTGGTGTTTGTTTTATGTGATGATTTGTGATGTGGACTGTGAAGCGCTTTGTGTTGCCCTGTGTATGAAAGGCGCTCTACAAATAAACTTTGATTGATTGATTGATCTTATGGGATTTGTAGAATAGTGTTGACGTTTTTTTTTTCCGCGAGTCCATGCACGGCTCGTTGGGTTTGGTTTACAGACTTAAAAACATCTGAGAGCAATAAAAAGTGTGCAAAGTAAATCAAATTTCTTACACATGCATCTGTCCTTTTCAATCCTATATAGAACTTCTCAATAGAAAACTGTACATCGACTATTTTACAAATCTTAAAACTTTTTTCTCAACCAAACGCAACGAGTCGCACCGATCCGTTTGGGAAGATTTTCTCTTCAAAAAAACATTAAACCATTACAAAGCTCTCTTATTAGTAAAGTTAGACCCACATCGAGAAGCATCCGACTTACAACTTTCCACAAGTTTGTTCAAGGCAAAATGCGTACAAAATAAAATAAAAATAACATTGATGGCGTGATGCAAGCAAATAACTGAGCTTAGCAATAAAACGTCCAGTTTAGAGTAGTTGGTAACAAGGTAGAATTTGAGAAAACGTGTTGACTGAAATGGCAGTTTTATTCCCCCAAAATCGCTGGTGCAGTGTTGCCGTTGTCCCTTTGGGATTCTCAAAGCGGGGTTCTCTGCTCTCACCGTCCTTTTGAGGGGGGTAAATAACAGCAGGTTTCCAAATCGTGGAGCGGGTGGGGGCTTTTGAGCAGTTTTTTTATAAAAGAAAGTAGAAAAGTGGGAGGGTCTCTGTACATGGGGGGGAGGGGGAGCAGGCACCCGCGACGCTCACTCGGATTTGTGGCAGTACAAGTCTTTGAGAGCTTTCAGTTCCTCGATCAGAGTTTTGTTCTGGTTTTCCAGCACGGCCACGCGGTTCTCCAGGCATTTCACGTACTCCTTTTTCTTCCGACGGCACTCGCGGGCGGCCTCTCTGTTGGATGAAAATCAATACTTTTATACAAATATTGTACTTATTTTTTACTTGACTGACAATTATAAACCACTTAATTGTCGCTTCTTCATTTCGCTTAAGTTGGACATTGCCCTACTGTGGGTTCCCGTAATCTAATATTATTCAGAAAAAAATGAGTGGATTTATGTTAAATGAGATTATGTGAGAGGACTACGGAAATCAGTAACAGAAATAAATAAAAAATGGATGTAAGAAAAATAAAAAAGCTGTTGTTGGAAGCCAGGTTGCTGTATAGAAAGTTCTGGATTCAGGAGCTCATGGATTTTCTGCTTTTGAGCCTAAAAAAGTTAAGACTTCTGCCATGATAGCGTCTTATTCAAAGATTTCGAAGACAGTTTATAAGAAAATCTATACATGGTAGTATTTAAACTATCAGTAAACATAACAGTTGAGAAAGTGATTGAAAAAATCTATTTCTACGGCAGACAAAAATGAGAAAAAGCCACAATTTAAAGGGCACGAGTCCAAAGTAATGATTCTATCAGTCTTTAGACATTTCAATATTTAGACTGGACCCAACTTTGAATCCCAGAAGGCCCACGTTAATGAGAAGTATGTATACACACACACACATACACACACACACACCTGTTCTTCATAAGGCGCACCTCCCTCTTGCGTGTGACCTCCTCCGTGCCGGTGCCTCCCATAGCAGGAGACGCCGCCATGACCACCCCAGGAGTGATGGTGCTGGTGGGCGCCGTGCGGATCTGGTACGCCTGCACATCTCCGGAGGCCGCTGCGCTCACAAGGGAAACAAATAATAATAAAAACATTACATTTTAAAATCCCTACTTAATAGAACTTGTATGTGTCCCTCAATTGGGGAAACTGTCAAACAATCAAACCAAGATCTATTATTTAAGAGAATTTAAAAAACTGATACTCTTGTGCTTGATCACTAATTTGAGTTTTAGTATTCACAAATACAGTTTTTAGGAGTAATGCCTTTGATATAAATGCGCCAACATAATTTCATTACACTTTTCCTTCCTATCTTTACTAATTCATTATTGAAGGAGTAGCTAATTGCATAACTAGCGCACAGAGGCCTGAAAACCTAGCAACCCATCAAGGTGCATGCATACAAATACAAAAAAATATGTGTATAAACATCTTTGTGACTCGGGCTGCGAGTGTGAGCGCACCTTGCACCACCACTTGGTTGCTGGGCACGAGGATCTGCTGTCCGTCGCTGGTCTGGGCGTACTGCAGGATGGTGGCCCCTTGCTGGGCTCCGGCCGCGTTCATGGTCAGAGTCTGGATGCCCTGTACTCCGTCTGTGCCGTTGTTGGCCAACTGGATGGCACCGCCCTGAGTGATGGCGACTGCACACAGCGTTCAACAGTCATGGTCAATATCCACACAAAGGGAGGAGAGCCATTTTGTGGCGTGACATGAATGTGGTTGCATTGTGGGGATAATGGACCTTGTGATTGAATTCACATTTATATAAAGGAAATGGCCACATGAAAACTCAACTGGAGCAAGTGCAAAGTGCAGCCTATTATTATGGTTTACTTTCCTTTTTAGGATTAGAACAATAAGAATTTAGAGTAAAATAAAAAAACTAGTGTACTTACTGTACTGGCCACTGCTGGTCTGGTAGATGGGCGTTGGCATGGTGACTGTGGTGATGGCCGGTGTGTCGTCTTCTGACTTTTCCTCTTCGATGCGAGCCACTGCGGGAGCGTCGGACGACAGGTCGTTCAGGATTTTCCTGCAGTAAAATAAGGTAACAATTATTCTAATTGTCACAGACAAAATACACTCAAGATTAAGTTTTAATGAGGCATTTCCCACCTGTATGAAGGACGTCTGGAGAGAATCTCTCGTCGTTTTTGACAATCGGTCACACTGTCAACGGACTCTTGTGAATCTTCACTTTCAGGAACTGTTGAAATCTGAAAAAGATTTCAACAGTTTTCAAATGCTTGTTGCGTGTTTATGTTTTACATTCCGCAGATTTGTTATAATTCAAAGAGGGCTTTGCTCCTTCATTAACTACACAGAGCAATCTTCAGACTGTACAATGGAAGGAGTGCTACCTGCACAGTCTGCACTTGTGGGCTCTGGATGACTGAGGGCTGAGCTGTCTGGATGACCCCGTGCACCTGCACTGTCTGTCCGTTGGGTAACTGTACCAGGGTCACTGTGGGGCCGCTGGACGAAACTTGAGCCGCTGCGATGGTAGCCTTCAGCAAAACAGTCACACGCTCAAAATAAACTTAATTACATTACACTCTAGAAACATTAACATAGAAAGAGTCACACAAATATTCTGTCTATATATCTATATATAGATCTGTCAATATGATCTCAGAATTGGGCATAGTTGAGAAAGTATCAATACAAATAGGAAACAGCATCAATAGGATAAAATATCCATTTGAAATTTTCGAGGCATTTCAGAAAATATGTTCAATGCGGATTCTTACACTTCCGCTCAGTAGTGAATTGTTTTTAGCCCCCAAAGGCAAACAAAAAGACACACAATAATTGGCTTTTAGTTTAAGAGATAAATCACACCGCATAATGAACTAAGCTGGGATACTCCTAACTTTTTAATACATATATATCACAGAATACGTCTTGAATAAATTGTGAAGAACCAAATCTTTTTAGGAAACACATTAAACCGTTTTGAGAGCCGGTAACTTAATTCATTAAATTTATCAAACAGTAAATAATAAGTTTGTTTTTTGTATATACATATTTTAAAAAAAAAAAACAAAAAAAAACAGACTTGTATGAAGTAATTGCATACCTGGGTGAGAGTAATTTGCTGGGCCTCGGACTCGGTAACAGCAGTTTCTCCCTGCTGTGTTTCTGCACCAGCCTCCATGCTCATCTAAAAACTATGACAAAAAATTAGCAAAGAAATAACAGCAAACTATTGTACGGTTTATTGACGTACTGACTTTTATCAGCTACGTTTTGTAACGTGATTGTGAGGGGTGTGGCATATGGCTCAAGTAAAACATGAGGTTTGAAGAAAGAAACATAAACATAGCAAGTGAGAAATTCCAAATAAGGTAGCTTATAAATACATTGCAACATTTTCCAACATCAAAAACTAAATGATATATGCTACATTCATGACGAGCTAAAAATGTGTTAGCTTGAGTGAGCACGCGGCTAAATCATGCGCTTTGGCATCTACTTTCCCATTGAGCCCAGTTAGCATGCTACGGCTAATTTGAATTCAATGGCTAATCGACCCTAAAAAACGATTTAAATCCATTTCAGAAAACATACCAGAATTGAAAACGACCACATATAACTGCGCTCATTATGACACATACGGATCGTGCATTGTGCCATTACATTAATTGTTGTCAGTAAATAAACAAGCCAGAACACTTATTGGAGGGAAATGTCTGCAAAGCTTTCTAAGGCATTTTTTTAAACAAACATGGGACCCCACTTTCTATGCTGGGTGTATTATTTAACATTCTGCTTTTAGGCCAGACCGAAGCGACAATACAATGCACTGATCTATTATATGTTGCACCGCTAGTGAATCAAATCGGACCCTTATGTTCCACTCCCAGTATAAATACCTAAGTATGTTGAGAGTGAGCAGCATTGAAAACACTGGCTCGGTTTTGTTAGCCTCTGCAAGCTCCGCCGCCATGATCTCTTTGTTGGCTTTGCTCGCATACATGGGCAAAGGCAGCCAGCGTGCCGTGTCCCGCTATCTGTTTAGGAGCAAACATCATCGGACACGTATATCCTCTTACCAGCACACACTCGCTTCGTCACTCCCGGGTCCACCGAGCTCCACTTTTATTCAGACCGACACGTAAGAGACCGCGTCAGGCTACACCTCCGCCGCGTCACCGAGAACAACAACTCGGAGAGGACGAGGCGCAGCGACGACAGCAGATCAGGGCTATGGACAGGAGCGACGCGGCGGAGAGAGCCGAAGAGAGACGAGGGGAGGCGGAAAGAGCCGAAGAGAAGCGAGTGGAGGCGGAAAGAGCCGAAGAGAAGCGAGGGGAGACGGAAATAGCCGAAGAGAGGCGGAAAGAGCCGAAGAGAAGCGAGGGGAGGCGGAAAGAGCCGAAGAGAGACGGAAAGAGCCGAAGAAAAGCGAGGGGAGGCCAAAAGAGACGAAGAGGCGTAAAGATTAAAATACAAATCAATGGTAGGCATTCCAGAAGCATTTAGGATATTTTTGCACGTTTTCCATTATTGCATGTACTCAATTGGCATTGTTTTACCTACTTGCACAAATAATGTAAAATAAAAAATAAAAAGGGATTATTCTTTGTGTTCCAAAGTACATGCAGAGAATTGGGCAATGATTGGTGAAATGATTGAAACAGACATTTCTGAGCAGTAAGAATCCATAGAAATAAAATTAGAATAAAATAAAATGTAAGATTGTGTCAAGGTAACACTGTTGTTACAGGCTCTCAGATTTTGAAGGTCCATCCATCCATTCATTTTCTTCCCCTTAATCCATTTCTAGGTCGGGGGAGGCAGTCAGAGCTACACCCAATTCACACAGCATTCATTTGAAAATGTTCTTTTAGTGTCATGGATTAAAATTCCCATTTCAATAACATGTCATGATAATGCAATGGAGCATTACCTTCTGTACAATCTGGAAAGGTGGGACCAGGTCTTTGTTTTGTAAATCAGTTTTTTGCAGTCCAAATGAAATGTTATATGATTATTTATATAGGCCTATGTTTTTTTTGTTTTTCTGGAATACATGTTCCAAATATGAATTACAAATTATTAATATATGAATCGTATGAGTCGTATCAGGGCTGAATCAATTCAAGTCTATTTAGTATACACCAAGTCACATCTTAAGTCCTCAAAATGCACAATCAACTCCAATATGGTGTCTCTATTTGTACATACAGTATATTACTCCCTTTAAAATGACTCTATTTCTATTACACACTATATTCTGAGCTTTTATCAAACCTCCTGCTGTTTTCAGAGGGAATAAAGAACATTAGTGTTGTCCCCCAGAAAATATGCTTTCTTTTCATTAAGAGCTAAGCCAATAATGCAATGTTTAAATATTTATGTGAAAAATTCCTTGTTTTGTCTATTCGTGCAGCCCATCGAACACGTACGTACCATAGTCAACCAGTCTATAGCGTCACAGTGTAGTCAATTCACCAACAGCATATTCAAAAAAAATAAAAAGAACAAAGAACACTGTTAAATAGATTAATAAAACAGTCGTTGGTTCATGTGTCCATAAACGCGTCGGAATCATGTCCTTAGACCCTCCTGCCTCAGCAAGGAATCTTGCTGAGGCAGGAGGGTCAAAGGAATCTTTTAGAATCTTTTAGGACTCTAAAACGCATTGATGACTCTGTGGATGGTTTGTGAGACAAGTTTAATCAGATAAATACATAATTAAACACAACACAATAACATTTGATAGGTCATTTAAATACCATGCAATTTGAATATGCAACATTTCACCAAAAAAACCTTCTCCCGACCTTTTGTGTCGTGTTTTAGTTCTGAGAAAAATGAAAGTTAACATCAAAACATGTCAAGGTTAACTCCTCTGAAATGATCTGGTACAGAAGAAACCAAATAAATGTATTCCAACGAAGAAGACAAGATGTACCTTTCTAGACTACCATATTTCTTGTTGCTCTTTTTTGGCTTTTTCTCCAGGTTTGGCCATGTGTACTTTAAAACATTCTAATTTTAAATTGCCACTTTGGTTAAATCAAATTCTACTAATGTCAGGGTAAATGAAAAGAGGGTTAGTTAGTGGGTATTATTCCTTCGGTTGCGACCAGAGCAGAATCAGAATCAAAATTCTTAATTCCATTGAAAGAAATAGGGAAGTCACCAAACTGGGAAATTGCTTTTGTAAATCACATTCAGATTAATCAATGTCATGTTATTAGCCATTTGCAGTAAATGGAATACGTTTGTAACAGTCTCGAGTGTGCACTAGACAAGTACATAAATAAGAATAAGGTTAAGAGTAAGAGATTCTTTAATCGTCACACAGTGTGGAAATTTCAGTGTTGCATCACAATACAAGATGAGATAAATGAACAATATATCGGCACTAACTAAAATGAAATAAAATAAAATCTCTAACTTTAGCATTTAAAGGTAGCAATTTTCAGTTATTATTGCACAGATAAATGTGGTTTCTTATTAAACAAGCGCAGAAATGAAACAAAGAAAAAAATGACCGGAAATGATGCAGATGATGAAGTAACACATTACTCCACACGCATGGCTCCATATCTTTGTTCCGTTTCAAATCAGTTAACATCTTTCTCTCAGACATTTTTCAAAATTCATAAAACATTTCAGGCAGAAGCTACAGCCTATAGATGCCTACCCTTTAGTATACATTACACTTATAAAGCTGCTATCACTGCTGCTGTCTGCTTTGTTGTATTCTTGCTGTGTCCTCTAGGTGGCAGCGGTGCTCTGTGGTCCTTCTCTCCTCCTCCTCTTCTACTGTCTCCTGTATTCCCATCCACCACTGCTCCCATCCCAGACACGTTGCATGTTCCGGGCTGATTTACACCATTACTGACATCGTCCGCCTGATATGTTCCTAATGAGAACCCAGCAGACTTTTCTCCTACGCTATATATTTACAACCGCCACCGTCCGCACCACATTTCTCTACAATAAAACCTGCTCATTATTGGGGAAATTGTTGTCCAAGCGGTAGGTAGCTGGTGGGGGGAACAAGAAGGTGATTTTTTTTTTTGTCCAATTTATGGCCATTGTATAGTTCGAGGTCATTTTGGAGTGTTCCCGTACAAACGCCTTGGACCGATTGACTGATTGACCGTCCCTTTGACATATTTGGGCCAGTCTGTGTCCTTCAAAATGGCCACTCAAAAAAGGGGGAAGAAGAAGTCTTTATTTTGTCCGGCCAAGTGGAGCGGGTGTATGTGTACGTGCGGGTATTGGATCGATAGTGATTGCATTGGACATTGATTTTCCATAATATAGGCAGCAGCTGGAGAGGGTGGGATTAGAGGCGCAAGCGGAGTGACAGGGCTTAGGTCAGAGCGGAGAGCAGGTTATTGAGCTCCGGTGTGATATTTTGAGGGGGGAATGTATTCGAGCAAGCGCACCAGTGGTTAAAGCTGGGGGTTTGATTTAAAAAAAGAAACGCGAGAGAAAAGTAGATACAGAATATATAGGTATCTAATATAATTTTAGACTAACCTTGAGCGGAGGATTGGAGGTGTGAGGCAAACAATATTCAATTCGATTTGCTCTTGTGTAGCCCTAAATCACAACAGTGGTTATCTCGGAGGACTTTACACAGATCAGGGAATAAAACCGTTCAAACACAAGAAATGCATTGATAAAAACACATAGAGCCATTGGTCCATAAGAGGCGTCCATAAATGTTGTTGTTTGTCGAATGTCCTAGATCCTCACCTCTGTGCTTTGACCCTCCTGCATCAGCAAGAAGAAACCCAGTGGGAAAAAGTGAGAAACCTCAGGAAGGCCCACATTGAGAGAGGGATCAGCTCTCACAAACAGAAGGGCTATAGATCCAGGACTCAGGCTGTAGAGTGAGGACCGAGGCCACATGTTGCAGGGCTGAGGCTGTAAGATACTGTATGTGTTACTAATTTCTATTAAACCGACACGTCAGTTTAATAGAAATGTCGCAGTTTTACCTTTACGCTCGCTGTTATGATTAGCATGAATTCTCCTCAGATGCTAGCAGCTTTGAACAAAGACAGATAAAACAACAACATGATTGTGTCTGCAAAGATATACGTTGTATTTCCATGTGCAGATGTCCAATCAGAGATAAGAGATATGTCTGTGATTTTGCCTCAAAGTTTGTATGAATTAGAAAACATTTCTATTTGTAACAAGATAAATGGGGTTTTGATTCAAGGAGAATCATGAAAGGATGATTCTGGTTCCTATTGCTCAGAAAGTCTCTGCAACATCACAAGTATTCAGATGCATGGTGGAGCGTTTTCACACATTTTTCACACAATCAGGGATTACACCGGCAGCAGCCAATCATTGAATTCCCAAAGAGGCGTAGAGTGGCTCACATGGCTCTTTGCACTAGGAAAACATTTAAAAAAGTTTAACTACCCCAGCTTTGATTGCTCTGCTCAGGAATACCGAACAAAAGATGTTTAATTGTATCTGGAATGTTGTTTAAATGTGTGTATGGCAAACTGACGTGATGTGTGCTGTTGAGTCGACAGTTTTGAGAAAAACAAACATTACTGTCTTTACAGTCTTCTATGAAGTTGTTTTAGAATGAAAATGTGTGGCTGAGGTGTTTGGAAACAGGACTACAGTGATAAAACTACACAGGGATGGCTCCTTTTAAACCATAAAACTGATAAACATAATTTACTGGGTCGCATGGAAACTCCCAGTTAGAAAGACTCTTTTCACGGTTCTGAAAAAAATAAAATGTTTTTCACTTGACATTTATGTCAGAGACAAGCTGATGTTAAGACTGCAATGTTGTTAAAACATGTGTGATGTTGGTGCCATTCCTGCCTCTGAAAGCCATACCTGCACGTGAAAGCCAGATCCTGTCAGATCCCTGAAGCTGTGCAGGGCAGGGCCTGGTTAGTACTGTGATGGGAGACCTCTGAAAACACCAGTAGCAGCAGTGGGGTGGCTGCGGCTGTCTCCAAACTGTTTTTATGTCCTTAGGCAAGACACTTCACCCACATTGAATGAGTCTGGTGTGAGTGGTTGGTCAGAGGGGCCGATAGCACCTAATGGTTGCCTCGCTTCTGTCATTGTGCCCCAGGGCAGCTGTGCCTATAGTAGCAGTTTATCACCACCGTGTATGGAGTGAATGAATAATAATGTGGAGTGTCCTGAAAAGAAATGATGCATTATCTACTTTAAGGAGCATTTGGAGGCAATAATAAACAGCATAAATGAAAGATAGAGCAAACCAGTGTCCACTTTTTCCTTGCGAAAAAAATAAGCTGTTTTTTTCCAATCCTTTGTCTCTTTTGAAACAGGACTTTGTTGCTTTGTCGCGGACACGTACATGCAGCCATCCGCTCGTCTACTCTTGCTCTTCAAACTCGCTGCAATCAAAGCAGGAAATTACACAAACCTGGATCGTCTGAAGCGTGATTTAGAGGGAACAAAACGAGCTCGGTTTTGACAGAGTTTAATTAAGG